CAAACGCGATTCGCGTCTCACCACACGCGCGCGCGATCGATGGCCACGATTCCACGAGAGGGTTGCGTTTCGTAAGACCTGCTCGCACCGCCCCGCCGCCTAAAGAGAAGAATAAAGAAGAAGTTGGGTAGGTGAAGTTGGGTAGGTGTCTTAAGGAAGATGTCTACACCTACCTATCTTCACCTACCTATCTTCACCTACCTATCTACACCTACCTACCTACACCTACCTGTCTATACCCACTTATCAATACCTACCTATCAATATCTACTTCTGATGTACTTTGATATTGTTGATCTGATACTTCTACTTCATATGTTATGTTGTGATGTGATATTATTTTATCACATGATATGAGATGATATGATCTGACATTGATGTGATGTGATATGATATTAAAACATGATATGATATGATAACCTATGAGGCGATGATTAGATGATGATGTTGTGAGGGTGAAGTAGGAGAAAGTTAGTAAAGAATATGAAGTAAGGAAGGTGAAGTAGGATAAAGAGAGTCAGGAAGAGAGAGTGTGGAAGATGAAGTAAGAGAAAGAGAGTAAGGAAGAGAGAGTGGGGAAGATGAAGTAAGAGAAAGAGATTAAGGAAGATGAAATAGGCAGCAGTGCTTAAGGAAAAACCCTTCGCAGGTGCTTTCGGGAAAAATGAACGCCATGTTTCAGAAGTCTTGGTCAAACTGCTTTTGCGACATTCCAATGTCTTGCTGCCACTGAGAATTGCCGACAAAAACTGTTCCTGGAAACAAAGGATTTTGGCAAGTTCCTCGATCTCTGGTGATATCGGCTCTGCAGCAACATCCGCCTTGAAAGATCGAGCAGCTGCAATCTGCTCTTGCTTGGTCAGCAGTACTCCGTCCATAGGGGCTGCCAACCCAGCAAGCTGAGGGACTTGAAACTTCTGGAACCATGCCTCAATCAGAATACATTTTTTCTCATCCTTTGTCTTGGCCTTGTTGAACGAGGTTGCAGGACAATGCCATTTCTCGAGCTGGGCTTTCATCTGTGGAATGGTGAGGCTCTGCTGCTGGAGCCGCTCTTCCTGAGAACTGGTTGAAAGGACAAAACCCAGAAGAACTATATTATGTCCATGTATATAACATGATAATATGTATATTTATACATTATAGATATAGAAACATTCAAAGGCACGGCAGTACGCAGACGCCCCCAGTCTGCTTAGAGCCTATCACAGTCTGGAAAAGGCACTTTACCCTCAGTTGTTGTTCCTTCATTCCAACAAACGAAAACGGTGTCGGCATCAATCGAGTTTCGTGAAGAGCTTTGTGAGCCTCAAGCGCTACCTTCTTGCTGCTTCCAATCTTGAAGGACCCGTTGCCGACTTGCAGGTGAAAAACGCCGTCTTTCTCCGACAGGCCATCTGGCTGAGAAGGTGCATCGATCTCAATGATTTTTTCAAACCCATCACGGATTTGAAACCCCGCCAGGATGGACACCATCACCAGGCCCACGTTCTGAAGCTGGTTCCCGTTTCCACAGCGCTCATGGAAACCAAACGGCTGCCGCCAATTCATCGGCGCATCAATTCAAGATTCCCATTTCTGACCATCGGAGACAGCCAAGCCGGTGCAGGCCAGCTTCTCACGCTCCGTCATCCACCGAAGCCTTGCGTGCTCAGGTTGCAATTGCTGTCCCCAATAAAAACCCTCCTCCAAAATTATCATTCCCCGGTGCAGTTTGCAAAAATCGCTTGCCCCAAATGGAACACCTTCTGGGGTTGTGGGCCTTAGCAGCTGAACGGTTAACGTCAACCGGCGCCTTGTACTTACGACATTATATACAGTTTTTTGTAAAACATGGCGAGAAGCAGTTTGCCATGAAACAGCCTCCTGGTTCCACTCTTGGTCAGGCACGGAATGCAGCCATCCTTCCCAGTCATGACAGGGACTTTGTCAGGATCCTGCGCCAAAGCGAAGACGGGTTCCTTGCCAGAATTCGCTCCATACTTCTCCACGAACCTCGACAGATGCACTAAGCAGACTGGCAGGCCTGCTTACTCAGCATTGTTTGTTTTTTACAAAGCATGGAGGCCTAGTTGACCCTCCCACCCCGCGAACTCCCTCCAGTGTGGCAATGGTCAGACGCCTGCACAGCCGAGTCACAGTTCTTGGTAGCGATCCAAGTTTTTGCGCTCACAGGGTGCCAGGATGGGGCGCCAATCCTTCAAGTCGCAAGAATTCGCATCTCCTGCAGGGTGGAGTTGGAATCGCATAGTGTTAAAGCTGCTGACCCTATCAACCAACCATATCTATTTATCCATAATATATATATATGCATATATCTGTGTGTGTGTGCGCACGCATTGGGGTATCATGGATCAACATCGGCAACAGCGCAACTATTTGTTTTTTTCTGCTTTGCACTAACCCTTCTGCATCTTCTGCCATTGCAGTCTTGACTGCGAGCTGTACTTCGGTAACTAAACAAAGATTGCATCAGCCATGCCTCGGCTTCTCCCTGTCGAATTTGCATGCGTGCCCTGCTTCAGTCAACTCTTTGAAAAGCAGGACCCCGCAGGATTTGCATTTGACACGGCGCTGAAAATGATTGGACCCTTTCCGGGTCGTGTAGGCATGGATGCATCTGCCTGGCCCTGCACTGCTTTCAGCGGCTGCAGATCCTGCGCGGGGCACAGGCAAAGAAGGCCGATTCCTTTGTGCAGATGGCTCACTGTATGGATCCACAATCACAACACTCACTGGGCTTGAAGAGTGGCTTGAAGGCTCTTCATCTCCCTCAGAAGTCTCACTCTCGCAGTGCAACAACACCGCAGCCTTCTCCGCCACAAGTGCAATATCTTCTCGGCTAAGGAAGTTGAGCCCCACCAATATAGCACATTTGAGGGCCCGCATCATCAAGGTGGCCAACATGCTCACTAAACGCAGGTAATGAGCTACACAAGGAGCCGGACGGTCTGCGTGCAAGATGGTTTTTAAAAAATGGCTTCAGTCAAACCCTCCAACCCACTAAGCAGACTCACCTTGTTATGCTAACAGCAGGTGCGCGCGCGCGTACATATAAATACCAATAACGATATATATATATTATATGGACATAAATATGTGAATATGTATATATATATATATGTACACATAACTATGTATATATGTGTGCATATGTTTAAAGCATTATACACATACGCTGTCGCACGTTTGCAAACATTAGCGTGCCCAGGTCTCCTGCTCCACTGCCACAACGGAGCATTTCTTGTCTAAGTGCTTCTGCGTCATCCTCCCAAAACATATCCGCAGCAAGAACAGGTTGAAGGGCGTCTTTCACGTGCTTGGCCAGGATTTTGTAGAGATCACCCAAATCCCTCAACATCTCGATCTTGCTGTCCAAGTAGAACACGTCATACCTTTGCACACTGACATGGAGACATGTACATCGCAACGCATGAAGCAGACCCCCAATCTGCTTACAGCCCCAGAGAGCACACTTGAAGAAAGACCTTTTAGCACAGATATCAACATCTCAAAGAGGAGCCAACTTCCGAGTTGTTGTTCCAACCTTTTCTTGAATACTTTAACTTCTCAAGATGCGGGTGAGGTGCCTTCTTGGCCTTCCAATGTGTACACCAATGTCCATAGGATGGGTTTTGAGGGAGATGTGTTTGTATCCATGAGCAGCACAAATTTCCGCCATTCGGTTGGTGACAAAGCCCGTCACGTTTTCGTGCAGCAAAATAGGAGTTTGGCGTTTGACGTGGTAGGTGATGTAGATGGCAAAATGCATGCTTGTCTTGGCCTCTATGCCCTCCATGGACCCCATAGTGCTGTATGAAGTGCAGGGTGATCCACTGGCATCAACAAGGTTTTGACGAGGTTTGCACCTGATATATAGTTGCCAGGGATGTGAAGGAAACCCAAGTATATATATATATATATACAGCTGGTTCAATCACATCTGGCAATTAAGCCCAGAACATACAAAGGTGCTTGGCGCAGTAAGCTTTGTTTGGCAATGGAGACTTGGATGCCATCTCCAACCAGGTGTCAAACCTCTTAAGGCCTGATTTGCTCGCCCCCACCTTCTTCATTTGCTCTAGAATCTTAGGCTGAACAAAGCTCTCCACATCGACAAACGAACATCCATCCCCAAGGACGTCCTGGTGGCTAGCCCGTGCCTTCGAATCTTTCTCCACGGTGTAGAGGCAATCCTGAAGCCACACAAAAGAGTGGGCCCTAAGGAGTAATCAATGCAGTAAACAGCTCCCACAGATCTGCTTACAGGAGTGCTGCTTTATTACACCCAGGCATCCCAGGAATGTACAAAAATAGCTCTTTACGGAACTTTGTAGCATCTCCATATTGTAACTCCAGAGATAAAGTTGGGGGTGGAAAGGGGCTATACGGGATGGCCATGCAGGTGGGAGAGGCTGCACTAAGCAGATCCCGGTGGTTTGCTTCCAGCAGTCTTCCTTAGCTAGCTTCCTTCTAGGTCATGGAGTCCTTGATTATGTACCTTTGCCAAGACTCGTGAAAATATTCTGGTAGGTTTGGTTCCTGAACGAACCGCGCTGCCTCAATGTAGTGCAGTGCTCGCTCACTGTAGCCCATGCCTGAAAACATAGAGCTGGAACCAATTGGGACCTTGGTCCAAAGAAGAGATTCCTTATCCAGTAAATTCTCGCCAATGAGGCAGCGCAGCGCTTCCTTCGCCCATTTCTGGGCATTTAGAAGCGGTTTGTTGACCTCCGACATGGCCCAGATGAGCTGGTGGTAAACTATATACTAAAGGTATATAAACAGATGCGGGTGATGCACTTTGGCGTGCCATCCTGAAATATGGTCTTGTTCTACATACTGGATTGAAATAAGCATATGCACACCTGTTTTTATGAAGCTCCATTGTGAATATATTGTTTTGCGGGTTAGCGCCCCAAACCCAAGCTGCAGGCGAGCCAGCGATTTGCAAATTCAGCAAACCCAACTGACTGAGAATGACAAGGACATGCCTAGCACAGTTTCTAAGCACAGAAGCCAGTCTCCTTCTCCAAAATCACAACATCCTTTCAACCCTCCCTCATTTGGCTCTTTATCCATCGTGTACTCTGCTTACTGGGGGTCACGTTTCCACATGTTTCCACTATGAACATGGTACAAGTGTTCTGCTTACTGCAGGGTGCCGTTTTTGACACACCATAACCATGCTTGCTAAAACCCTGGTTTTTAGTACTTTTCGTCTGCACTAAGCAGAAATGTTCCTGCCTCCTGACTGGGTTTGACTATAATATATAATATATATATTGTGTATATTGTGAGGAAATCCAACCACTGGGTTTTAGTCTAATTGTGCGTGTGGGTTGGGGGTCTTTGCGGTCCCCGCACCTCAATCCACACCCATTTGGTCACACGCTCGCGAAAGCAGTGTGGAATGGAAACATCCGGAAAGTTGGCATCCATTTTTCAGGTGGTCTCCGTTTGGGTGGTGGAGTCTAGAATAAGGGATTTTCTTGGGTTTGTTTAAGGCTAGCTAGTTGCTACCGATGTAGGTCGTTTACAAGAATATGGTCATTTACATTGCACACAGGCGTTTCATCCACGCTTGTGATTTTGAGTGTTCCTTGGAAAGCGATATGGGATGTCCAAAAACGATGCTCCTACGTTATATTCAACATGTCCCTGGAAACTGTGCTGGAACACCCTTCAAAACGATATCAACGTACTGTATACTGTATATAATTCAACGGATACCTACAGTGTCCATGTGCAAAACGCTGTAAATCGCAACATTGAATGAGTACTGACTTCACCTTGCACTTTGCCCTAAACATTCATTCAGAAAAGTGTGTTTTGTATACCCGCAGACTACATAGTTCAGTCATTTTCGACCCCTAATCCGTGGCCACTAGTGGCTGAGACGGATCTTCACCACATCCAGGATGCGGCCCTCGCTGAACAGTGCCAGAACCTTCGAGCTTCATGGCCTAAAGAAGGCTTCCTGATGTGACCAGAGTTGTACTGTATTACGGTGGTTTCAGAGGTTCGATGGCACTGGCACCGAAGATGTCCTAGACAGATGGGGTTCACATGGATCCACTGTTAAAGCACCGACATGATCCGACATTGGGTTTACGCAATCTACTTTGAAACCACATGAAACCACTATAAGTCCAGGCACCGGCCCCCTGCCCGTGGCGAAACCAAAGGATCGACTCGATCGACGCCGACCCACTCCCGAACACTGTGTTTTACGGTGTTTTCTGGTCTTCGGACTTTTTTGATTGCTTTGGATATGTGTTTCGAGTTGAGTTGTTTTCAAGGGCACGTGGTGCGCTTTATGCTGCTCAAGACGCTTTGCATTAGTAGCATGTTGCGTTTTTGTTTATGTTGGTTTTTCTCGCTAGTGCTTTTTCTTTTCATCTTGTGTTTTTGTGTTTGTTTCGCTCTTTCTCCTTTCTCTTTCTCTTCCGCTTTCTATTTTTATTCTTCATGTTCTTCTTTTGGCTCTTCCTATGTCTCTTCGTGCTTTGGCTCTTTTCTTTCTTTTTCTCTTTCTCTTGGAAACGGTTCCTTCCTCACAGGGCCATCCGTTTGGGGGGTCTAGCTGGGCTTCCGGACTTCCTCGGTCTGCAGGACCTGGAGCTCTGGGGTGTTGCGTCGCTTCTTTCTCCAAATGGAGTATGGAGGTGCCACAAGACCAAAGCTAAGGCGAAGCGACCATTGAGCCACCACTGGGTTTGTGTCTAACGGTGAGGCAACAGAACGTTGTTCAGCCACCGAAAACGATGGGTGTCCAGCGCATCCGTGGTCCCAGTCGGAGTGCGCCTGAGACCTCGTTCGATCGCCCAGGTCTCTGGCGATGTGGAAGAGGTGCGACGTGGATCCAGGTCTGAAAACATGAGGATCACGGGTACAGGAAAGCCTGGTTGGTCAGATGCACAAGGCATCGCGCTGGTGGGGCGCACTTGATGTAGTATATAAGTTGATATAAGATGATATAAGCAATTTAGAGCCACCCGAGCCCTAGAGGGGCTTGAGTATGATGTGTTTAATTCTGTTATTGGGGGATGGTTGTCCGACCATGGCCTACCAGTTGGTCCAACTGCAGGAAGAACTCTCCTTCAGTGAATCAGCTCGATGACATCGCATGACCTGCCCCACGGCGAGATTCTGCAGGATATGTTGTTGTGAATATAGTTTTTGCCGCTTCAACCACTGAAGGTCCAAGATGCATGTTCTTCAGGCGATGATACACGTCAATTCGCAAGAAGGGTCTTTTGATGTCTTTTGTTTCTGAGGATTGCCTGCTCGCACGGGAGAATGCACTATGAAATTTGTTCAACCGATTCACCTTTGTGAACAAAGTCTAACAAAACAACTCAGAATTATGTCAGCAATTTCAGGTTGAACAGACGCAAACAGCGTCATATAATTGAATCCTTTATAGATGATAAGGCATCCACCAAAACGGGCTGTTGTCAACTTTGGGGTGGGCTATGTCGGAGACAATGGCGATTCAATGCGCAGAATGTCGGCAACCCTGCTGCGGCACGGTTTTGAGCTCAAAGCGTGCAGGGCCTCACCTTTGATGATCAACCTTCTTTTTTGAACCTACCTCTCAAGAGAAGGCGTTGCGCACCACAAGGATCCAACTTCTTTGGGAAGCCAATGGGGTGGCATCAACCACCTGGAGAAAGACGCTGTTCGGAACATGTGTGAAACAATGTCTTGCTTTGTGCCATGGCTTGCTCACAGAGTGAACTGTGAAGGTTGCTCAAAAGGGTCACGATTTGGGTCTTTCCCACCAGTAGAAGAGAAGCTGGCATCCCACATTTACAGGTTCTGATATCACTTCGGTCTTTGCCACGTTGACCTTTTGGCCCCGGAAACACGGCGGCCAGGTGAAGAAGAAAGAAGACCTGATTAAGTCGGAGGCCATGAGGCCGTCCACGGCCCACCGAGCAGCTGTCCACCGTAGACCGGTCCGGAGAAAAGAGAAGTGACCGGTGCCGACGTCGGAGACGGCAGGGCAGGGCCATGTTTGGGCAGGGATTCGGTGGATTCGGTGGGAGGAGACTGATTGGTGAAGGAAGGCTCGGTGGATTCTCCACCAGCGACATGGAAGGAAGGAAGCAACCGAAATGAAACTTGACCAAGGAGGATTCAAATATGATCGGATGTAGCCAGAGGTTCATAATCCCGTGCATGCAGTCATTCGCATCAGGTGGCCTACAATGGTGCAAGCCTAGCACTCAGGGTTGGAGCGCGTTGGGGCTAGCTGGGGGCTTTGAATTCCAGTGCATCCCCAGCCCCCGAACAGAGCCCCCCAACACAGCAGATTCTTGAGAGATCTTGGGAGCAGCTTTTGGGAGGACTCCTTGTAGGAGTCCCCAGCTGGCAGGAGATCTGAACTCCAGAATTTGTTTGGGAGAGAACCAGCTGAAACCTGCTGCAACCATCTGTAATGACTGGAGATGTTTCGACCATGGGTTTTACTGTAACACATTCAGGTTCTCCACATCCATCAGGCTCTGCTCGAATGAAGCCCTTCTTGCTGCAAGAGAGCAAACGACCTGTATACAGTAAAACAAATAAGGTACCAGGACCCTCCAGTCGGGGTGTCCTGTCTGGAGGTCCCTTAGTAGTAGGCTGGGGCTTCCAGCCAGGTGACCCCGACATGAAGGTGCTGGTAGGTGCTGTGTTACTTTGAGGGTAGAAACCTAATGAAGCTTACGCATCCGATTCTGAGGTGGCATCCAGGCCTTCGTGTACATTCTGCTGAACATTCTATCACTTCTAGAGAAAGGGATGGGAGGAGGTACGGAGAGCTCAAAGTTGTTTCTCGAACTCCTCACTGTTCCCAAAATGAGCACAGCACAAATGACGCGAAAGGGAAGACCGGTGAGATGGTCTTCCCAGCGGGAATAGAAAAAACATCCACCCCTGCTTGATCTTGCTTGGGCACCCGCCAGTGCATCAAAGCCAGGAGTGTTTCCCTGTGGACCAGCAAGTGTCCATTTTCTTGAAAAGTTATTGGGGTTCCTGCGAGATAGTATTACTTTCCCCCGCTCAAAAACATTGTCTTCGCATGCCCCTTTTGCGGTATCTGTGTTTGTTTGTGCATAGAAATCGACAACGAAAACGATCACAGAGCGAGCCTAAAACAACAATGGTGAACTGTGCGACAGCGCCATGCAGCACAAATGCATGCGAGTCACAGAGGCACACCATGATATAGTTGTACAAATGTTGCAGCTAGTCAAGGAGTCAAGGCACTGTAAAAGTGATACGGAAGTAAACATCGACAATAAGGGAACACTTATTAACAATTGACATTGGAAAGGTAGAGCGGTTTTTAGACAACCTGATACCTCAGGTAGAAGTTCAACGTTTCCTTCCCCAAGAACAGCGGGCCTCTCCCAGCGGTCTGACCGCCGGTCGCCGCGGCCTTCCCCGGAAGCGACTCGAGGCGCCGCAGCCGTCGCCGCCACCGGGGGAGCATTGGACGAGATACCAGGAGCGTTGACTCGGACGGGGCGTTCGGTGGAGTCGGATGCGATGAGTGAGTCAACGCTGAAGTGCACTTTTTTCTCACACGCCCTGAAAATCATAGAAGTGGACAAGCGGATGGCACCATTTGTTTTTGTGGATTTTTTGGCAGAGAAGATTGGTCTTCCAGGGGTTTATGCCATCCACGTAGCTGACGTAGCCATGATTATTACAGGTGATTAGCTTTTGGTGCAGGCCTCCTTTTAGTGCAGGTCCAGGGTCCCACTGCGGGTCCTGGGTCTTAAATGTTGAGCCGCGGCCGGTTGCATTTGGGTTTCCATGTTTCTTTGGGGTGTTGGCGTAGCCTCTTCCTTGGCCTCCTCGTGCTCATGCCTTTAGATAAAGTGGAACACATGAAAGCTCTCCCTCAAGCATTTAATGCGCCACATGCATGGTTGTAGTCAACCCTTCAGCTGGAAATCGAGTGAGATCCTCTTTCGGTTCACGCAGGCCATTGGTGTATGCTGAAGAGATCTGAAGAGACTATTTTGATGATTTTGGATGCCATGTCTTCAGGGGCTGAAGATTCAGCAGCTTAAAATGCGCCCCAGACTCTGGGACTTTTTGGATTTGTGAGAGGTCTCCGAAAAGAAAGACTAGATTTCATGAGGCTTTTACACACCCCCTGCTCGTTTTCGAGCAAACATGGTATCATGGTTTTCCCGCTTTTTGATGGTCCACCTCCATGAGCCAACATGGGTCAGAGTGTAGGTCTGATGTGACTCTGTAGGTTGAGTGCCTGGTCAATGCAGGGCAGTCCATAGGTGACACCATGCATGGCGCTGGCCACGTTTGACGCAGAGGAAAAGCATGGAATGAATTGGAAGCAATTCAACAACTACACTCAGGAACCCACAGAAATGACATCACAGGAGGAACTGCAAGTGCCAAGTTCCGCTCATGCAAGATTCTTCAAAATTCTAGCATCAGCCGTGAAAAGGGTCCCTCCAGATGATTGTTTGTGTTCTGTGCTTCTTGTGTGTTATTCACGTTGCAGGGGTGTCCCCTGCTTTTGAGTTGAGTGTGTTGGATTCCAACTCATCCAGTGGCTCGATGCCTTGCTTGGACGTCAGGACGAAGATGGAGGCCAGTTGACTTCACCGCTGCACCAGTTGCGTGGGCCAAACACCGGACGGGGATGAGGACGCATGTAAACCATCGGAAAGTTCTTGTGAAAAAATCCACCAACCATGAAGATGTTGATGACATGAAGCACAACCTCTCAAGGCTGGGATAAGTTGAAACTGGGATGTAGGGGAAGCATATGGTTTTCCAGAGGCCCATTTCTCAGGTTGTTGGGATTCTGGGGTGTCAAAGCCCTCCCAGACCAAGTAAAACAACTTACATATATAGAAGAAGCCGGTTCTAGAATTCACATGCATCAGATTTTGGGGTCAACTACCTTCACCAGCGCTGAAACCCTTCAGAGCCGGACAGACATCACAATGTTTCACTGTTCTCGTATCACTGCGGCTTTGACCCTACAAAAACGCACATTGAAGTGGTTTCCGGTTTCCCACACCTGTTTGCAGAGGATTTCATGGTCTTCTAGGGGCCCATGTTCCATTTTCATCCATCCATTTTCCACTTCCATGGAGCGTAAGTCAAAGTGCATCTCCTGCTCTCGCAGGTGAGTATTGGTACCATTATGAGGGCCCATTGGGCCAGTGGTGGTGCGGTGTGTGTTCTCAGTGTGACGAGGGATGAAGACGGTGGCGCTACTGGGAATTAGTTGGTCTGAAAAACAAAAGATGTAACGTTGGGAGTCCAACCACCTTTGTTTCAAAGGTCTCTACCAACTGTACTAAGGATGATTGACTACAATGCAGGTCAACCATTCTTTGGGTCTTTGGCCAGGGGCACTGGTCAACGCCGGTCTCGTCCACGTGGCGAATTGGACGGAGGGCGCACGGTGGACCGTTGGTTGCCAATGATTGTACCGGCAGAAATGAACTTTTGCCAATCTTCTGCATGAAGAAAGTTTATTGGCAACCAAACATTCTGCATGAATAAAGTTGCCAATCTTCTGCATGAAGTGAACTTTTGCCCCATCAAGTGATCATTCAGGTTGACCCTTGGGAAAGACTTGACCTGACGGTCTTGCTGAAAGACGATTCATGAATCTTCCCAGCAGCCTCACTGCCAGGTCACCACCTGACCATTTTTTTTGGCCAAAGCCTCCATTCCCGAGACCGGAAGGTGCTGCTCGAAGATGCCATGGTCGGGTCTTAAAGGTAAATACCCGGCCAGGAGTCACGCTTGTGGGCTTCCACCGGTAGGAGTGTGTCCACGTGTGTTTGGTCACGTTTGACTTATTTGTTGCGTTCTTGGTTTGAATATGTGTTGTCTCGGTGGCATGAAAAGACGGACCAGCATGACCTAGGAACTCTATAAACATCTATATATATATATATAAACTATATGCGTATTGCTTGGGGTGCTGGCTGGGACCGGTCGGACGTCGGGACCTCGCGAGCCGTGTGCCCGCCTGGGGTCATGGGCCCGACCGCTGAGGTTCAGATCATCAGACGATTATGCCCTATGTGGCATGAGTCGCGCGAGTGGCGTGAGCGACACTCCTGGCCGGCTGCGGAACTCGTGACTGAACATGGGCTGCACTAAGAGAACATAAGAGAACAAACAGTCGGGTTTGGTTGAGGGGCTGACTGAAACATCCACTGCCTGAAACGACCAGTTTCCTTGACATTCCTTGGCTCGAGTCCATGCCGACATGTCGATACATGTGTGAACTATCCCGCCCGGCCGTGGAGCGGAGCGAATCGCCAGCCACGTGGGACCGACTTAGCACTCACTTGGCCTCTCGACTTTACGTATACGATCAAAGCCACGATCGAACAGAGGTGAAGGGTGAAGAATCCCATTTCGATATACCAAGTGAGGTTGTATACTTTAAATCTTTTTGTATTATTTCCGTCTAGTCGCACCGTAATCGATGCCCCAGCAAGAGCGTGCTGCTGCACGGTGCGTGGTGCATCATCAGCCTGTGTGGAAACAGAAAAGGGCCGAAGCGCGAGGGTGGCATCACAGGGGATCAAGACAGGGAGCCAGGTTAGATACAAAATACCATCGACATAGCTGCGCATACTGTAGCATCGTGTTCAGCTGTTTTGTGACCGCCACAGGTTTGAACAGATCTTTGCATACGATGCCTGTCACCCACTTGTGTGGGTGAACATGCTGCTGCATGTTCATCACCCGGATTCACCGATTTGTTGGTGATTTGGTACAGCAAATGAGCTGATGGTGCTGCCATCACCACCAAATTCACCACCAAACTCATCCAAACTCCAAAAAGGTGCCGGAATGAGGACTTTTTTTCACGAACCAAACACCGCGGTAGGATCCACCTCGGACCTTACAGGGCCCTTTGGAATGAAGAAACGTGTGGAGCGACGTGGCCCGAACGGGCCCGAGTTCCGGGTGGGTTCTGCTCGTCCTTCCGCCGATGAGGTGTGTTTCTGTTGGAAAGGGATTAGGAGCCACACATGCATATTATACTGTATATATAAGTAGGGTCTGTCCGAACTTACCTGTAACAGTCAGTAAACAATTATCACTATTTTTGGACAAGGCCGTTACTAACCATCGTCATCCACTGTTACAGCTATATTAGGATAGACCCAAACTATAATATAAATATATATATATATGTATACCTGAATGCATGTATTTGGATTGTATATATACCTGCATACACACGGTCCGTTACAAGGCGTTTCTTGTTCCTCGAGCCTACGAAATCCACGGAGGATTCTTTGGTTCTTTGAACCAGTGACACACCGCTGGCCTCGCTGGGCTTGGTAGGACGGACGTCGTTTGGGACACCGTTGGCCACCGTTTCCCGGGACGGTGGAGCCATGTCCGCAGGGCCTGATCAGTCCGCCAGGTGAGTTCTGGGAGGGGGTCTTGAGAGAAGGCTATGTGGGGCGGTTGGGGGTCGTTTGGATCTTCCAACAACTTCCCAACGATTGATGGATCCAGTTTGATGGATCGATTTGTGAAAGGCTTCTGGACCTTCCAATGCCGGTGGTTGTTCTTTTTTCAGGCAGAACTTGTGGCACCGATGGCGCCCTGCCACCCGGTGCTGCCACCCGACCGGGCGCAAGAACAACAAGGGAAGCTATACTGTGGCCCGCACCAAACAGCGAAGATCTCGGAAAATCACCGAGGATCCCCATGGCATTGGGAGCCTTATGGACACCCGGACACGTCTGATCACCAAGTAATTCGCATCCCTTGGGGTGTGCCTCAGATGGTCCTGGTATGAGAATGCTCCCTGAAATCATCATGGAAGTGGATGGCTTGGATGACCATTTTCCTTTACAAACAGGTGGTGATCTTTTGGGTTTGTCCTATTACCTCTAACAGTCACTAAAAGAAATATCACTATTACTAACTATCATCATCCACTGTTTTTGGTATTAGGATAGGCCCAAGTGATCTCCACTTCTACCACCACCCGGATGTACCCGGAGCCAGGGGCGAGGAGGAAGTGGCACGGAAGCGCCTCTTCCGCGGGACGCGGCTGTGTGCCTCGGGCGCAGTTTGGTCCAAGCTGGGGGTGGTGTCGAAATATGCAATCCTCAAATGAGATCCAACAGAACCAGAATGGAGTTGAGATTTGCCTCAAAGAATCGACCAATGGATGCATTTGCTTGAGTTCCATTTTGGAACAGCCCGGAGATCTGAACCAAAAAGGAATCGAGCAGAAGCTCCTCGAGTAAACTCAGACACGTATAGGAATTTACGCCACTACATTGACATACATTAACAGCATCGCATAACGCGCATATGATGCAGTTTGCCTTTCAAGTTTGATGCCCTTGTGTCACCAATAGCTCCAAAGCCATCGTTGCCGGATGTTCCTGCACTTACAGTGCCACAACTAGCAGTGCATGCGGCTCCAGAATGCAGTTTGAGTCATGCATGTTCTACTGAAATGGCTCGTTTGAGACATTCCTTTTCCATCCTTTTCCGATATGAGCCAGGATCCTTTTGTGTCCTTTTATGATGAACGCAGGCTTTCCGCACATGGCCCACTCATGTTATTTGTTCAATCTTCCAACGTCTGGCAACCACCGCGCCAGAAGACGTACTGTTCGCTGAACGAGGCAAGTTCTTCCTGGCTGGCTGCTGCTCTCGTGGAAATGCATGCAATTTTGCCCACTCGCAGGGTGACCTGAAGGATTTACCAGATGCTCGGCGATCTCGGAGCGCTGGTTTGTTCGGTGATTCGGAGCCCAGTGGTGGTGCGCTATATGATCAAACCAGGACCCTCCGAGGGTGTCCTGTCTGGAGGTCCCTTAGTAGTGTAGGGGCTTCCATTGGTGACCCCTTTGAAGGTGCTGGAACAACAGTAATTGATTCTACTGGTAGTCCAAGATCAACATGTTGGGTTTGGTTTCGTGCCCTTCTGCTTCAGGGGCCCTGATAGAAAAAAAGCAGAGACGTGTAGGATTGCCGTCAACGCACGCCCATTCACAATGTCAGAAGGCGTTGATATAGGAAGCCCATGCCTTTGGGAGTTCGAGCGAGACGGAGTCCTATCATTTAAGCCTCCTAGAGCACATCATATTCCAAAGGGTTGCGAAGTTGTGACAATGTGCCTGTTGTGTCCTCACCTCGTGAAAAAGGAAGAGCAAATGACAATCATTTTGCAAGCTTTCGAAGGGACGCCTATATACATCCTATACGCACTACATACACAGATGTTCATGAGACTCGCCCCCCCCGCCTTCTGGTCTTTTTTCTTTTAACGACACATATACACATCGTCGATCGGTGAATCGATTTGACCCAAGGACTTCTCAAAGACTAGACTTTGTGATCCCTTCATGAAAAGCTGCTTGGCACATCTTGGCACCGCAGTTCTTGTTGATCCGGTGGAGTTGCTGTGGATCCTTCTCATGCTGGACGCGTGAGGAGTCGATTTGGCAGCCGAGGCATGTTTCCGAACTGAGCAGTTGGTTTTTTGGGGGGAAGACAACGCGACAAGTGCATGTGCTACACGCGACAGGTGCATGGAGCTACACTTCCGAGGCCCCTTGCCGGCCCTAAGATGGACCGGCCGAGGCACCCTGTAGTCAGACGGTTTTCCTTTGACCAAAACCGGTTTTCAGTATCCAGCGGATCGTTTTCAGCGGGCTATTCTTTCCACCTCGGTCAATGAGCAAAATCCCTTTCGGGCGGTCAAAATGGAATGGTTCCCCTTCATGTGAACGATAGCTTTACGAAGGGTTGCTGGGACTCGATGTCGTGCTATAGCTTTACATAGCTCAGGGAACGGCACTTCTCAGATGCCGTTGGAAATCAACGTCACTTGAAAGCCCCTTAAAATGGGGCCATATGGGGCCCGAGTTTCAGGTGACATCCCTCATGCAGTTTACTAGGGATGTGGGCCACGGCCAACCTCGGAGGCTGATGCCAAGTGCCCTAGTTGATGTGATTCACCTCGGAGTTGGTTTGACTTCAGTCCTTTTTGTTGCAAAAATACATTTAAAACTTTAAACCATTTTTAACCACTGTGAACGTCGAACGTACTACGTTTGTTTTTGAGAACAGGTGGGGTGATTTCCCCCCTCCAGTCGTTGATGGGGGGGTATCAAAACGATCATTCAGTCATGTAGGCACACCCCGGACCCACCGAAGCCAAAGACAACTCTTCCCCGCTGAGGCGGAGTCTGTGACGCGGGCCGCTGGGCAACGGCAATGAGAATGGGACCTACGGCGGAGTTATTGACGGTTTGGACCTATGGCGGAATCGAAACTTAAGGCATTCGATCAGGGTATTTGGCCAGGGACTCGAATATTTGGACATCATGTTGGAGGCCTGCTTTGTTGGTGGACGCCATACCCGAGAATCCCAACCGTCCTTTTCAGCTGCGAGACAGGGCCGACCCCGGTCGCCTTCGCGCCGAGACGAGGCGACAAGTGCAAGTTTGCACACAGCCACGACGAGCTGCGACCCAGCCACCTGGCGACCCTCCACACGCGTCGCTGAAGGGACAGGTCGTTCGAGGGGGTCAGCACCACGGGGGGGTCGTCGGATGAGAAGGGTCCGGTCGGCGAGTTTGGGTCAGGGGGTCGGTATCAAGGTCCCATGGTGTGGTTGGCGTGGTGTTCCAGGAGTTTTTGGCTGATATGCTGGAACAGGGATCCCCCATGATCCCCCTCTCACACCTCCCGAACAACTGGTGAACCAACTGGACGGGGGACAGGCCGAGGCGACACCGGTGTGGGACACCCGAGAGTGGGAGACCTGACTGACTTGGAGACCGGGGGGTCCAGACCGGTTGGCCCAGGCTATATCTCCAAGTCCAAGAGCCTCGAAAAGCGACCCTCGCGCGAGCTGCGCGAGGATCGAGCACCTCAGGCGTGGTCGGAGATCGTTTTCAGAAGACTGGGCCGACTGGTGAAGTAACAGTTTACATGACAGTTGCATGTGGAACCAAATAGGTCCACGAGTCAACCCACTTTCGCATGTGCCATGATATTCCACTGGTATTTTCGATCTTATGTTGCAAGGGCCTAACAACCTTTGAGAGGAGACCTGCGTCTTGAGGCCATGGAGGCCAAGAAGGGCGCCAGTGGGCCACACACGTGCAGCAATTTGCAGTGCTGATGGAGTTCGTGTTTTGAACCCACCTATAGTGACTATTAATGGTGCAGAAGGAGAAAAACAGATGGAGAACATCAATGAACATCATCATAGAGTATCCCACATTCATGGGGTGAATTCCTTCATGAATCGCACGCGTGAGCTGTTCACCACAAACCTAGTAGCCATTAGCATTACGCCGCCAAATCAGTGTCCGAGAGAGCCTTCCAGGCCGTTGCCCTCAGTGATCGATACGAAGACCGACCAATCCACGCAGTCGATGACTGACCTCCACCGCGGCGTTCGCAGCGTTCGAACGCAGGCTCATCCTCAGCAGGATCCAGCGCAAGGGCATCCTAGTACAGCGGGGCTTTTGCACCTTGGCGATCGAATCCAATGGACATCATGTTTCATCTTTTATAAAGGACGTTTCGATATTTAAAAATTCAATGATGAAGGGCTCGAAGGGCTCGATCTTGTTGCAGAAGACTCCAGCGGCTATGAGGTGAGGTCCCCCCCCAACCAACCCCTGTTCAATCCTGTTCCTAGACTCCTAGACCAGACTAGAAGGGCGAAATGTCAAGGACTCGGGGTGCAGAAATTGACACCCCTTCACAGACACCGCTGGGAAGTCAAGACGGCAACCCATTCCCAAAGATGGGAAGCACGGTGTGAAAATGACTACGCAGCATCAAATTCAGGTGTGTTTTGTGTGTGTGTTTGCATCAGTTGGCATCCATTCATAGCGGTTTTCTAACATTTTGAATCAATGTTATCAATTAATAGCTTATTCTTGAAGTCTTGGCTGGACACTCCACGATGACGCGCGTTTCATGGTGTTTGAGTGATACGGCACTGGCACCATGTTTGACTTCCGGTTTCGAAGCAAATGCGTACCTCACGGACCCACCCTGGACACAGTGTATGAAAATGGTTGAGACACCACTACTGTTGGAGTCCCCACCTTCTGAACACAGAATCCGATTCCTGCAAACATCAGCCACATGAGATCGCCTACCATGGTGTTTGCATTCCTGGCATTGTCATCGCCCGAGCTTCATGAATGCCGTGCAAAAAAAAACCGCTGTTCTTCGATGGAACAGAGTAGCTGGGGAGGTGCCCACCTTGGCTGGGGAGGTCCCCCCTGAAACACGTCCTGGCCGCCTGAAACACCTCCTGGCCGCGTGTGGCGTCTACTGCACTGCCAAGGCACAGTGCGGCCATGTATGCCCTGATCCTGCAACCTGAATGGATCGGAAGTGACAGGTCGAGAGGTTTGCCCATCAGCCTCCATGGAAAGAGGAGAACGGTCTCGTTTTATAGGGCCTATAGGGGCTGATGTTCCACTGATCATCCACTGATCCTTGTGTTGCCTACGAGGCATGTTCTTGGCACATGTTGCACCCGTGCGTTCGCCGCCCCTTCTCGTCGCCTGTCCAGCTGAGGCAAGGCCTCAACAACAAATCCAGCTCGAACGCCTCGGTGTCGAGCGCGACGCACCTCGCTGAATCCATCGGCCGGCGAATCCATCCGAGCGGTGCATCCGGGTGGTGCTGCCAACGTCTCGGACCGGTGCGTTGGTGTCGTTGCTGCGAACCGCAGCAAAGAACTGGACGAACGGGACCGGTGCGGTTCAGGTTCGACGGTTCGCAGCGACCAGATGCATTCTTCGCAGTTCTTGAAAGGGTTGCAGCAGTGGTTGCAGCATATTGCAGCTCCTTTTTCACCACTCTGAAGATGTGTAGCCGTAGCCTTTGATGCTGTCAATCACTATGTGTGTCTATGTGTGTACAGTATATAATTATATGGGTTATATATATAGAGAGATATATAGATAGATAGATAGATAGATAGATGGATAGAGATAGATAGATAGATAGCTAATCTAGAAGGTACGCACTGTTAAGTTGCTTATCTCTGGTCTTTCGCTAAAACCTGGTGCTTCGTCCGGGAGAAGTGTTTTTGGTCTACGCGCCATACCCAAAAACATTTGTTTAAAGGCCAAAGATGGTGTATAAGCACTTCCTTTGTGTTTCCC